ATCTTATGCGTGGAAAGAAGAAAACACGTACCTGCTGTGGCCTTCAACTCGACAATTAGATATCAATAACGTATTGCCAATTAACAATGGTAACTAATTTCCATTCTTATGTCGATACGATATATCATGGTGAGCTTGAAATGAAAGATGCCACAGAGTCTGACACATCTGTTTCGTATTTGGATATTTTACTTGAAAAAGACGTTGATGGTAATCTAACAACCAAACTCTATGATAAACGTGATGACCCATCACCTGCATATGGAGTTTATATCTCTCAGTTGATTGGATTCGCAAGAGAAATTGCTCTACGTATGTACAATTTCTAAAACGAAGTAAATTATTGACAAACAAGGTGACGAAAGAAGAATATCAGCAGTCTTGTATTAATTCATCATTTAGTACGTTCTATGGTCGATACGATGACCTTGTCAGCAAATACAATATAATATTATTGAGCCAAATGCTGACTGAGGCTGACGTTTTTCATATTTATAATCGTATTTACAAATTAAAATTGACAACGGATTTTTCATTTATTTCATAACAAGGAGCACATGGCGGGTGTGATCGGTCGGCAGGGGGTGCTCACTCCTCCATGGCACCTGATCCCACCTCCGATGTTTTGGAGGTCCTTGTTTGCTCTGCTCCTATTTTGTATTGTTTATGGACTTTTGAGCTTGAATACTGTCCGTTATATGCATATATTTCAATAATGTATATTCTAGTCAAAAATATCTTTAAAAGTATTCCATAAAATCATAATCAAGAGTTTGATATAATATATTACTAGTATTTCGGACAAACCTCATGAAAGAGATTTTTGGGGAGAAGTGTGTGTGTGAGAGGGTGTGTGTGTGGGTGTGCGGGAGGGAGAGAGGGTGTGTGTGAGAGAGAGAGAGTGTGTATGTGTGTGTTAATAAGGGTGCACGTTTTGACACAGTCGTGACATTAAAATGGCAAGAATATGTTTTCATATTGTGATCTTTTACTTTCGATTTAAATTCTAAGGAAAGGTTGCAATGGCGTCGTCAACAGGAGACACTGGTTGTATAAATGATTCAGCAGTGTGTCCAATATGTTTCCAAAAGTTTAAGAAACCGAAGATGTTGCCGTGTTCTCATACTTTTTGTCATTCTTGTTTGGAAGGACTCATCAAATCGTCCTGCAGTAGTGCGACCTCCTTGGGATTTACATGTCCTCTGTGTCGAAAATTCATAGTAGCCCCGGGGACAGTGGGCCAGTGGCCTTTAGATAAATGGGCGTCGCTTTTCCCGCCAAACCAATTTATAGAGTATTTGATTGAAAAGGGCTCAGAGGTGTCGACCATTGATTGTGATGCATGTGTCGAAGATGGCGAAGACGTGAGAGCTACAAACTGGTGTAAAGATTGTAGGCGACCCTTCTGTGAAAACTGTTCAAAAATGCATAAAAAGTTTCCCGCTGTACGCGACCATGAAACAGTCTCTTTGAGCGAGATTACCTCTGTCACTAAGCCTGCAGAGATTGTTTCAATGTTTTGCACAGTGCATGAACAGAATAAATTGGAACTTTTTTGTAGAGATCACCAAGCACCCTCTTGTGTCTTATGCGTTCCTATGTTGCATAGAACCTGTGACCACATAGGATCAATACAAGAAGAAGTGAAAAAATTTGATAAAACAAAGATTCATGCTGTAGGACTTGTGAAAGAGATGAAAACAATTTGTGATGTTTTCGAAAAACTCATTGAGGAGGAGAAAATGAACATTGCAAAAATTGATGAAAAAACTGACATGTACATTGATATGGTCAAAAGTGCTTGTGAGAGATCAGTGCAGCATTTGAAAAATCTAGAGGAAAAGCAATTGAATCAAATTGCAAAATTTTCAAAAGATGGTAAAACAAAGATAGAATCTACAATTAAAGACCACGAAAATCGAAGGGGATATGTTAAAACGTGTCTGAAATTAATCAGTGAAACACTAGAACAGGGTGATGATGTTCATCTCCTACTTCAATATTCTTTCGTGAAAGAAAAGATCAGAGAGATAGAAAAACTTGAACTGACAACCGTAAAGATAGATTTATCTGCAACTACAGTGGACGAAATTGAAAATATCAAAGAATTTTTAAAGTTAAAGTTAGATGAAAAGAGTACAAACATTCCAGAAACCATTGACGTTGCTCGATCTCAGTTGAGTGTTATCCATTGCTTTACAGTGGCGAAATCCAACATTATAGGAGGAGCATTTTTGCAAGATGGGCGCATACTCCTGATTGATGCTAAATCACGTCGCTGCCTGATATACAGTGAACATGGTGTTTTAGAACAGGAGACAAAGTTTCTTAAGTGTCCATGGGATGTTTTTATAGATTCTTATCTTCTCTATGTCACATTTCCTGCTGTCAAGGAGATAAATGCTAAATGCTAAATTTAGATGATCTATCTGAATTTAAGACATTTCAAGTAAATTGTACATGCAGAGGTATAACAAAAGTGGACGATAGAATAATATTAGCGGGGAAAACGGTTATAGAAACTCTGAATGGAGATTTTGAACATCTTGATGAGACTAAAGTAGATGCAGATACGGATGATGTAGCTTCAGATTTAAATGGAAACCTTATATATTCTTGTTACAATAATGGTATAGTAACAAAGAAATGCAGCATGAAAAGGCATATATATGCTTATAAACATTGGACTCTAAGTGCACCATTTGGTCTGGATGTCGATCACATGGGAAACGCCTACGTGTGTGGATTTGAGAGCAACAACATTCATATAATATCGACAGATGGAGAAACCTTGAGGATTTTAGATGGATTCACTAAACCTCAGTGTGTAAAAATTCAAAATAACAGTGTCAAGTTTTTTGTTGTGGAAGAAGAATCAAAAGTGAAAGTATGTGAATTTATATAAATTGTCGAGAAAAATAAACAATGTAGGGATTTATTTTTAAACTGCCTTGCAACTTTCATAAATGTATGACATGTACGGTGTATAATCTAACAGTCCTAGCTATTGGGATAGGGCAAATGATGAATTGATTCAATTGAAATATATTAGCTTTCCATTACGTTCATTGAAATCAAAATAAAATTCCTGAACAGAATGTACGA